TCCGGCCGCGATCGTAAGATAAATAGCCCTGGTGTATGCCGTTATCTCCCTGCTCTCCAGTAACTCTCTCCCCTTTCTGTTGCAGCCTCCCACAGTCCTGATCACGGCGTCCCCGTGTTGGTTATTTCCCGTCTCTCCTGTTCAGCGATAAAGCAGCGTGTTCCCTTTGGTTGGTCACCTTTAGCGTTTGTTTTGTGTGCATGTCTGCGTGTTGTTTGCTTTTGGGTCCAGCTTACGTGTTAGAACTACAAGTTTCTCTGTCAAATCACTTTTACAACTGTTTTTGAAAATCTCACCAAAACATGAATTATTAATATTATATTGGTGAGTGTTGTGGGCTCAGACACACACAAGAGCACATTTAAATATTTCAGTGAAAGTTTCTTTAGCCTAAAATCGCAGGTTTAAGATCCAGAGCAGATTATAAAGGGTTAACCTTCATAAAGTGTGTGACAGCTACAGGAAAGATCTGACACGTTTATCTGATCACACAGATGCTGAGTTTAGCTGCGGTCAGTCGGCTATCTGAAGTTCCAGCATCTGTAATCTGATTGGTCGGTTTTTCACGCAGCAGATTAAAACAAACTCAGGTGAGTTTGGTTGAAAAATCTCTTCCAGGTTCTCCTGTTTCATCCACTGATTTTAAGTTAATGCTGCTCAGCACGTAACATGATCCACATCAGCTGTCACATGACAAAGCTGCTCAGAACTTCCTGTCAGAGAGGAAACACACGAAGGTGATGAGGAGATAAAGAAGGAGAGGGAACATGAGTGAGGACACTTCTCCTGTGAAACACTCGGACACCTTTAATGAACAGTTTAAAAAGAACATTTATGATATTTACAAATATTTATATGTGATGAAAAAAGTTTTGGTGGTAAAATTTCTTTGACATCATTCAGTTTTGTGTTCTGATCAAACAGCTGTGCGATAATATCGACTGTGTCTGAGTCACAGGCTGTAATATCTCAGCCTTTCAACGTGGGGCCTTTATTAGAGGAGCCGTGGATTACTCACAGGGAACGTTGGGATGCAGGAAAGGTGTCGCCAGGATCAGAG